TCGGCAGGGATTTGGGGGTACGGGAACTCAATGGGAGCGGGGAGGAGTTGCGGGAGAGGGGCCAAGTTGTGGGTAGGGAGATGCGGGAGTTTTGGGATAAAGAAGGGGGGAAACTTTGTACATAGAGATTATCGTATCATCATCTCAGAAGAAAACTGAGGGAAAAATCAGGAGTCAAAGCTTGAAGATCACCAAAAGGCAGAACATTCACAGTCTCTTTCTGGGTTGCAGTGTGAAAAGAGCGGTAACAAGGGAGTGTTTGTTATTGGGGATTGAGAAAGATACTCACCAATCTAGCAGTTCTCCACAGTGAAACCAAAGAGTACTTGATACACATTGGAGAAGGACTCTCAGTTACCCTCTGAGTCAGTTTTTCTTTCCACACCACGCAGGGGGAGGAAGACTGGGGTGGATTGTTGATGATTTTGCTGATGAAGACCAAGTGCTCAATGTAAACAGTTCTGCCAATATCTTTTGAGGTGGGTGCAGTGGGGGAATTATTGGTGCATGGGGAAGCAGCTAAATGAGTTCCAGGGGAAGCCAGAGGGGGTTTGGTAGATGGTGGTGAAAAACCAAAGGAAGGGCTTTTGACTGAGGGGAACTGGGTTCATTGTCTTGGTTTGCAGGGCCTGGTTCTGATTGTGATCTGCAACATCAAACAGTTCATTGAAACCAGATTTTGTGGATTGTGTTGGAATTTTGTCCCATCTCTTTCTGTTCCGCTTCTTGATTTCTGTGACACTCTTGTGATTCTTTTCTATTCTCTGTTCTTCTGTTTCTTTGTCTCTCTTCCGTCTTATTCTCAATCTTAAAACTCTTTGTTCAGCTCAACCTCACTTAACCACTTAAACTCACTCACACCTCACTTCAACATCACAACTTGAATCTCTCACTTCAACTGTCTTACCCCACTTCATACTGTGTTTCTCTCCGACTGGTGAGACCTCCTTGGTAATGTTAACTCAACTTTCTCCACTGACTCTACTCTCTCAGTCCATTCTGTCGATACTTCCCTCTTCACATCTGTCTTCAGCCTCTCTCTTCAGTCAACCCTATCCATGTCAACTGTTGGTCTTCTTTCTTGCTTCACTGTTTCTCCTCTTTTATTCTTGTCCTGATGTCTTCCTTCTAGTGTGCTGGCTCTTGTTAGAGTTTCATCACAGATTCTTTTAGATTGGTTGGGTGGCATGTTTCCTATCCTGGATTCTTGAGACTCACCTTCCTCATTTGCAAAGAGGATAGGTGGGGCCAAGCCCCCACGGTTGAGTGGGTTGACGGAATGGTGTCCAGTTTGGCAGCAAGCTATGGAATCAAAAAAAAAAAAAAAAAAAAAAAAAAAAAAAAAAAAAAAAAAAAAAAAAAAAAGAGCAGCCCTCACCTACAATTTTGAGGTCAAATGTACTTACAGTGAGATGAAATGTTCTTTCTTTTTGTTTTGATTATTACTAATTTTGTGAATTTTGTGAGTGTGTATTTCTTTTTTTTGCTGGGTTGCTGCAGTTGGATGGGGTGGGGGGGTTGGATGTGGTGAGGCAGATGGGGATTGGGGGGGAAGGGGGGGGGAGACACCGGGCATGTTGGTTGGGAATGAGTTGGAAGACAGAGGAAGAAAAAGAAGGAAAATGATGAAAATACAGTTTTGAGTTCAGCCACCAAAGGTGGTTGAAAGTCCAAAACCCCCTGTCAGAAAACGCGGCCGATGCGCAAGTTTTTTCGTATCAGCTGTAGAAGTATGCGAAAGAAATGAGTCCGGCTGTTGAGAAAGGGGTTGTTGGTCTCTTCTCGATGCTGTACAATACTCGTGGCGGCGTTCGGACGGCCGGCAGACCGGCGGTTTGCGGATAACCTCAGGCGCGGTTGCTTATGTAATCACCAGCAGCTCCTCTGTCCGCTCAAGTTTCGCTCCTCAGCCGACTCTCCTCTGCCTAACGATACTCGTCTCCAACCAAATCTACATCTTTCCTCTTTTTCGGTCGGACCGTCGTGCTTGATCGATACACCCAACCGCTCTCTCTGAGAATCCGGTAGGCTCGTGAGTTCGTTGCTTTCAAGTTCTCTTTTTGCAGCTTGCGTGTTGGTTGATGTTGACCATGTTTGTTGCAGCTTAACATGGATGGCGCTCTCGCGGCCCAGATTCAAGCGGGAAAGAGACTGAGGAAGGCTCAAACTAATGATCGAAGTGCTCCTCTTGTGCCCGGCTCACCTAATGCCGGCGGTGGCGGCGCTCGCCCCGGTCCCGCTTTGGCCAGTGCCCCACGACCTCCCGGCTTGAAATCTGCTCCAGGCGCTCCCAAGCCTCCCCAACACGCAAAGACCGATTCGCAAAGCTCTTCAGGGCCGATGGCGAACGCACCACCACAACTTGCCGGGCTCTTTGCTGGGGGCATGCCTACACTGAGGAAAACCAGTGGACCTGGACCCGCATCCGCACCAACTTTCAAATCTGCACCCCCGGTACCCAAACCTCCCACAACTGCACCTCCATCAAGAGCACCTCCTCCTGCACCACCAACCAACGGCCCGCATTTAGTTTCGCCCTCTCGCCCACCTCCACCTGTCCCTCTGCAATCCTCCTCCTCTACACGACCCCCTCCGCCCCCTCCAGCTGCAGCTCCTTCAGCTTCGACTCGCCCCCCTCCACCTCCACCTTCCACATCAGCTCGCACGATTCCTGCTCATTCAACAACGACCGCCCCATTCACACCGAGTGTAATTCCTGGCCAAAGCTCTCTTCGTCCGACTAAGTCACTCGCAGCTATGGTCGCACAAGACGCCCAACAACCCCCGCCACCCTCAAATCGAGCCCCCACGCAATCCTCTCCCAACAATTCCCTGGTAAGGACGTCATCAACTGGCCATGCACCACGCAACCCTCCACCTCGTCCTGCATCAACATTCAACCCACCCCCTCCTCCACCTAGACCCCAGACCGTCAACTCAATCCGACCACCACCTCTTCCTTCTCGGCCCGGCTCTCGAGCTCCTCCCCCACCCCCGCCTCCTCGGACTAGCACCAACTCCCCAAGCCTAAGTGGATCAGTGACCAGAAAAGCCCCGCCTCCACCGCCTCGCCCATCTGGACTGGGAGCTTCCACTAGTTCGATCGCCTCCGATATTCCCAGTATTGTCAGGCCTGCATCCACACCTCCCCGTCGTCCTGGTCCACCCCCACCCCCACCACCTCCGCAATCTTCAACTCCGGTTCATGAAAGTCAACCACCAGTCCGTCTACCCCCTCCTCCCGCGCGCCCTCCACCCGGGCTGGCGACCCCTGCGCCCATCGCACGACCAAAATCATTCGCAGCCTCTTCCCTCCAACCTCCCCCGCCTGCTGCACCCCATCACCCTTCCTCCCGATCCACCCAACTTGCACAAAGTCGTCCCCGCGTTTCAAGCACTCCCTCCGCCCCCGAAGACTTGAGCACCGGCACGCCTCGCGCCAACGGCAGCGTCAGAGCCCGCCCACAAAGTATGGTAGTTCCAGGCACCTTGGCTCCCGCTAGTAATCGACGTAAGCTTCCATCTCCAGTTTCCACAAAAACATTGGTGTTGTATAATGTCTCAATTGGTTTTTATTGCCGCCTTGGATGACTTCGCACGGAATAACAGCCCCCAGTCCACCCACCACTTTCTCCATCAATCCGCCTAGAAACTTCCCCCAGTCGAGTACCTTTCCCACCCCAAGGACTTTCCAGCCTGGCATCAAGCATCAATATCCCAGCACACGGAAGCGTGGTTGCGATTGGGATTACAAAGCTGTCTTGGCTTGACCACCTCTTCTTTCTACCATTTCCTTACAATTATTATTCACTTGTCAATCAAAGAAGGGCTTGCTCCTGGGATTTTCTGTCTGGTAATCATATCCCCCCTCTTTCTTTGCTTGTAAAACCCAGCTTTTATGTGTAAACTACTACAGACAATCTTGCCATTTTTTACTGAATTGAATGTGTACGTGTATGCATGTGTCAATGTTTATGTGTGTGGGGAGGCTTCAGAACAAGAAGCACCATGTGGAATGAAAAAAGTTAGTCAATGGCTGTGGTATGTTGGTGAAGTCTAGCATACAGCTTCACAGTAATCCTTTTCCAATGGCTGGAGTTGAATCTGTTCTTGAAAATTCTCTTCCCCCCAGTCTAAATAGGTTCACCTAAGGGTTCAGGACTGAGGGTGGGAGATTGGGGCTAGGTTTTAGGGTTTGGGTGAAGGATTGTTTTCCTGGTTTTATTTTATTTTATTTAAGGTCTTTGACATGCAACCCAGACAGAATGAATGTGAGACCCACCCTGGCCTCTCTGCAATACCACCATAGGTCACAGCTTCAAAAATTGCCCAGTGCAGGGAGGTTGTCAAGTTATTTATAATTTTACCTGGCTGGGTTGCACCTACAGACCCACCACCACAAAAGTGGGTTGTGGGTCAAATTCCTCAACCCATTACCTGTGGGGGTGGTGTCGGAGCGGTGGCAGAGCCACTGGTGGTGATGGTGGAGGTGGAGCAGCCAGTGGTGGTAATGGTGGCGTTGAGGCAGCCAGTGGTGGAAGTGGCAGGCAGGGACTGGTGACTCCACCGCCAATGGTTGGCAACACCAAAGGTGGATCTGGTGCCACTAACCACTGGCTGCTCCACCTCCGCCATCACCACTGGTCACACAAGAAGTGGCAGTGGAGCAGGGCATGGTGGCTCCACCACCAGTCCCAAGCTGCCCTCATGGGTCACGGGTTGAGGAATTTGACCTGCAACCCACTCCTGTGGTGGTGGGTCTGTAGTTGCAACCCACCCAGGTTGAATTATGAATAATTTGACCCGCAACCCACCCCGGTGTTGTGAGGATGCTGGGGTGGGTTGCACCATCAATTCAGGTGGGTTGCCTGTCAAAGACCCTTTATTTACATATATAATTTTTTTCTAATAAATAGGGGGTATCAAATATGACCAAATCTACCATTATTTAATTGACAGGCTTTCAAAAATCCACCCTTTCCAAAATATGTATGTTCTTCACTAATAACCTCTTATGTCAGCCCTAGAGATACTCCAGAGTATCCAAAAGCCTGCATTATAGTATTGTATCTCCTTTATTATTGAGAAATCATGTAATTTTATTCCAGAAATGGACTTTTCACGTAATTTTACATAGGGTTACCCACTGGGCCTACCCCCAAATTCACACTCCTTATGGTACTTTGTCACAACTCAAAGTACCACAAGCTTTATTAAAATAATTATTGCTGTGGACTGTGCAGCAAATAAGTACATAAAATAAGTACATAACATATGTATATAAAATAATGAAATATGTACATAAATAAACATTGAATATAGTTCAAATCTTATTTATACAGTGAGAGAGG